ATAATTGAAGTACATTTCAAATCTCTTAAAAACAACACATGGAGCCATCTAGGAGCTCAGGACAGTGACAGAAGCCGTGACATGGGCCCATGAATGAGTCCTCCTTGGACTCTAATTCTCTGGGAAAGCCACTATGGATTCTTGAGCAGGCATGGTGGACAGGCAGACTGTCTACAGTCTTTAAAAAATGGTTTTCAAAATCTCCTGATTATAGCAATTCCTGAGGAAGCTCCTGGGACCTGTTACAAGTGAGGAGTCTGTGGGTCTAGAATGGGGTCCCAAGAGTGTTTGTGTTTTTTAAAATGAGGTTACATATATACATACTTTAAGTACACATACTTATGCATTTTTTCACATACAGATCTCACAAACCCAAGGTGCCAACTTGAGGAATTTTTACATTTTCACACACTACCAGCACCACCCAGATCAAACATATGACTTTTCCAGATCTCCAGAAGGTCGCTCACTCCCCTATTCCATCTGTACCCCCTCTCCCAGAGGCAACCCCTATTTCGATTTCTATCACCATAGACTCATTTTGCCTGCTCTTGAAATTCTTAGGATGCCCATTCCCGGGTCTGGACTCTTGCTCACCCCCACATCTGAAGGTTATCCATGCTGCTGCCTGCATGCTGGTAGCAGTATAGTTTTATTTTTCTTTTTCTGCTATATAGTATTTAATTCTCTGAATAGTCCACAATTTACTTATCCACCTAGAATCTAGCTTGAAAGGTGCATCCCAGGTGATTATGATACCATGAGCACTTCTTTCTCATTTTGTGTCATTCTGGCTATGGCTGGGGACAGATAGTGGGCTGACAGGAGAGGGACTGTTGGGACATCTTGTTGAGACCTATTCTGACTAGCTAGTGGCTTCCAGGCCACCAGCTGCACAGATACCTATGTTAGGTGCCTCAGATGTACAATGGTGAGGCTCCAGCTACTCCTCAGCAGGGACTTTTCCAGGGCCTCCAAGAGATGACTCTGTGGGTGGTGGGGACCACATGGGGGCAGTGGCAGTACCTCTATTATTGGGTTGGGATTTTTCTGCTACCCCCTCACTGTGTAGCTGACTTTCTGTGGTGTCCTTTTCTAATAAACCCAGGAGTCTGTAAGTAATCTCAGTCTCTCGGGACACTATCACTTAGGTCACCAAACCCAACAGGCAACAGGTGCATTTGTGAATAGCTGCTTGTAATAGTGAAAAACTGGAAACCACCTAAATGTCCATGGTCAGGTTAAACAGATTATGGCACAGCAAGATGCAGCTCTTGAGTCCCAACCAAGTAGGGTTACATGAAGGGACAATGAGAAGATTGGGAGGGTGGGAAAAAAGCAAACAGCAAAATGATTTATGTACAATGAACTGTTTGGGAGAGAATCTATGGAAACTTGATTTTCTATATTTTTCCAATGTTTCGCTTTTTGTTGTTGCTTTACAAAAGAGATATTTTCTTTGCAAAATTAGAAAATAAAAATTAAAACAAAGGTCTTCAATCATCTTCACCCCTTGCAAATCTACGTTCTGTAAACAAGCCATGATTCCTGTTCTTTCTGCAGGGCTCACAGAGGAGCCCTGTGAATTATCTGTGAAATAAGGGGCATCTGCCTGGGTCTCTCACAGTTTGGACCCAGTACAAGAAAAGCCATGCATGTGCTGCATGGTCAGCCATGTATGCTGCGTGATCTCACTCACATGTAGGACTAAAACAGTCAAACTCATAGAGCAGAAAGTAGTGGGCGGTAACCAAGGGCTGGAGGGAGGGGAAACAGGGAGGCAGTGGCCAAAGGGCACAAAGTTTCAATACAAGATGAATTTGCTCTGAAGATCTAATGTGCCACACAGATACTACAGCCAACAATACTAAATTACATACTTGAAACTGGCTAAGAGGATAAAGCCTAAATATTTCTACTACACATACACACAAAAGGTAACTATGTGAGGTGATGGATATGTTAATTACTTTAATTGTGGTGATTATTTTACAGTGTATACATATATCAGATCCTCAAGTTGTACACCTTAAATACACACAATTTTTTTAAAAGCCACATAAATGTGTCACCTTTATTCCAGCAGCCCTGTGCCTACCGCCAGAGAAGAGCCACTGAGGAGCTACACAAGTGATAACACCAACACAGAGCACTTCCCATCTGTCAGGCCCTACGCTAAGCACTGCACATCTGCTCTCACTGCTCCTCCTCAAGTCCCTCTATTCCCAGCTGCTATTATTTGTGCTTGACACAAGCAGGGAGCATGGACCTGGTTCAGTCTGAGGCCAGAGCCTGTGCCACTGCACTGGAGTTTCTCCTCTCAGAGTTTCCAGAAACCGCACTTATTTCACAAAACAGGAGCAAGTTATCAAGGTAAACCACTTAGAGAGACCAGAGCTAGCCATGTGGCAAGCTGCCGTCTGTGGGGCATGAGCACCACCTGGTGGCTGCCCAGAGCCACTTTTCAACACCTCCTTCCTCTCCCTTTCCTCACAGGGAAGGATGTCCACCCCATCTCTACCTCCTTCAGTGCCCTGAACACATCTTTAAACCTGTCCTGGAAACCTAGAGTCTGCCTCTGATATACACCTTTCGCCACTTGCCTTCTCTCCCCTACTTCTTGCAGGTAGGGCCGGGGCTTGGCACCTAGTGGCCAAGCACAGCGATTAAGAACTAAATAAAGCAGAGTTTCTCAACTTTGCTACTGTTGACATTCAGGGCTGGATAGCTCTTTGTTGTAGGGTCCTGTCCTGTGCAATGCAGAATGTTCAATAGCATCCCTAGCCTCCATCCCTAGATGTCAGTAGCACCCCCAGGATGGCTCTAGACATTGCCAAATGTCCCCTGGGGTCACAAGCACCCCCTGGTTGAGGATCCCTGAGCTAACTCTCCTGGAATGAAACTCATTCTCTATTCTGGCCCCATCACCCTGGGCCAGTGACCCAAACTTTCTTGATATTAAACGAAGACATCAATAACACCTACCTCTCAGGGATGCTTGTTACAGATAAAGAGAAACTGGGGCTTTGCAAGGGCAGGTATTAAGCTCAAGGTCACACACTCTCTAGTCAGGCAATACAACTGGAGCAGTGAGGCAGGTGCCAAAGCCCACACCCTTGCACAGTCTTTGGTCAAATTCCTCCCCACCATGCTTCTTCTAATACTTATTTCATGGTCTGATCATTCAGCAATCCCCTTTAATATCATATCATAAAGAAGAAATGCAAACACCCCCAGAATCATTCAGCAGAAGGGAACCCTCCCTCAGCCCTCACAGTACCAAGCCAGACAGAGATAAACCCAGTGTTATGAATTGAGTTGTGTCTGTCTCAGATACATATGTTGAAGTCCTAACCCTCACTGTGACTATATTTAGAGAAAGGTTAATGAGGTGATAAGGATAGTGGCCCTATAAAGAGAGAAAGACACACAGGTCTCTTCCTGTGTGTCCCTTTCCACTCCTGCACAGGGGAAAGGGCACACACAGCAAGAAAGCGGCTGTCAGCAAGCCAGGAAGAGAAACCAACCCTGATGGCAGCTTGATCTTGGACTTCTATCCTCTAGAACTATAAGAAAACAAATTTCTTTTATTTAAGCCACCTATTCTGTGGCATTTTGTTAGGGTGGCCCAAGAAAACTAATACACACAGTAAGCACAGACACACAAAAATCATGCCAAACTACACCCCACTGACCCCAGCAGTACAGAGGCAAATGTCAAGGAGTGTCCTTACAAAGTGACGTCTCGTGACTGATATTCTCAAAGAGGATGTTCAAGGTCTGAAGCAGCTGAACACACACGTAACGGCCCGATTTCTGCCGCAGGATGTTCAAAAAGAAAACAAACATATTCTTCTCCAGGAAAAAGCTGAGGAGAGAATGGAAAAAAGTCAGTGCTTTGCTTCCTCATGTGGAAATTAAAATCAGACTCTAGTTGTGTGTACAGACCTGCCTCCAACCAAAGGCATCCACACAGATGCCAAATTGTGCCACTCGTGTGGCCTCAGCTCCCACACCGTCCACTTGCCAAAATGCCATCTTCCGTCATGGCTAACACGCAACCGTTCAACTCTCTTCCCAGAAGGAGACAGCAGTGCTGAAGAACTTCTGGTAAGCAGTGAACTAGATTTCTGACAGAATGGGGAAGGCCTTTACAGACTAAACGATCACACAGTCCCATGCTTGTAAACCCAACAAACAGTATTTTCTATCAATATTTGGTATCCTTAGTTTTCCTTACTAAGTCTCTTTCCTTTGTTCTCCACATTTTTGAGTGTTAAGAAAAACGATAACTGGAATCCTCTGCAAAGAGATAAGATAATGCTAAATATTAATAGTTGTGGCCCCCAAACTGTCAAGTTTGTGGTTTTCATGTCTAGGGGAAAAGAACTGGAAAGAAATACATAGGTATTGGGCAGCACCTGTGGCTCAGTGAGTAGGGCACCGGTCCCATATACTGAGGGTGGTGGGTTCGAGCCCAGCCCTGGCCAAACTGCAACAACAACAACAAAATAGCCAGGCATTATAGCAGGTGCCTATAGTCCCAGCTACTTGGGAGGCTGAGATATAAGAATCACCTAAGCCCAAGAGCTGGAGGTTGCTTGAGCTATGACGCCACAGCACTGTACTGAGGGTGACAAAGTGAGACTCCGCCCCTAAAAGAAAAAAAAATACATTGATACTAATATGATGGAGAAAGAGAACCCCTAGCCAGTCCCCAAGTCTGCTTCTGCTTTTCTTATTCTGGATAGAATATTTCTTTGCACACAGCTTCTTCTTTGCAAAAGCTCTGGCTTTGGAAGTACAAGATGGCTCTTTTGTCTTGAAAAGGAAAGAAATAGAACCCCTTATATCCTTCTTTGAAGGAAAAAAACAATGTTTCTAGTTACGTGTTCTCTGAATTCATAATCTCTCATTTGGGCTACTGAGAAGAAATCCCTGCAGTGATGTGGGCCTACTGGTTGACTTGGTTTTGATGCCTCTCTCCTCTCATCTGTCATTGCCACGGTGGTGGCAACATGGTTGGGGTACTTGCTCAATGTGGCATAACTCCTCTTTGAATCTACAAAGAGTAAATGACTAAATATGACCTAAAGAAGTCCCCTAAAATCTTTTCTGACTCTGCTTCTGAAAGCCTGTCTGCCTTGACCTCCAAAGGATTTCTGTCATGTGACCTACTTTATCTACCTTTGCTTCAGGGACTCCCAAGTATCAGCAACAAACTCACTGCTGCACAGTGATGAACTTCAGAACTTGTTAGATCACTATACCTAGGATCGTGCCCCAGGGATTGATTTAGCAGATCTAGTGTGAATTCCACAAGCCTTGGTCTTTAAAAACTCCCTGGGGGAGTTGGTGGGTTGTTCCTTGGAAAAAAAGGTTGATTCTAGGACTGGGCAGAAGAAATATAAGATAAGCCCGGAGCACCTTACAGTACCAAGAAGAATGTGCTCAAAAAACCAAAAGGACCAGAGTATGTCAAAAGGACACAGGAATCAACTTGAAAGAGCTCTGGGCAGCGCCTGTAGTACAGTGGTTATGGCGCTGATCACATGCACCAAGGGTAGTGGGTTTGAACCCAGGTGGGCCAGGTAAACATCAATGACAACTGCAACAACAACAACAACAACAGCTGGGCATTGTGGGGAGTGCCTGTAGTCCCAGCTACTTAGGAGGCTGAGGCAAAAGAATCGCTTAAGCCCAAGAGCTGGAGGTTGCTGTGAGCTGTGATGTCACGGCACTCTACAGAGGGTGACATAGTAAGACTTTGTCTCAAAAAAAAACCAAAAAACTTGAAAGAGCTCCCCCAATAGCCAAAGCTAAATAATTTGGGCATCAAAATAAGTAACACAGTATAGATTGTAACCCAAAGTATGAGACAATATCCATGAGTCCCTATCAATATAAATAAATGATCACACAAATAAAATAAATGGGGTAAAGAGAAATCTTTCATTTAGAAGAATTTCAAATAATAATCTATATACTCTTGGCTTCTAGAAGGTACAGCTTAATTCCCACTCCCTCATCTTAAAAGGTGATCTAGACTTAGTGATTATCTTCTAAAGAATAACATAGGGAAAGGAAAAAAGGGTAACTTTATAATAGCAAAACCAGACAGACATCACCTTCACCAGGTGATGAAGGTTAACAGCACCAGGGATGTCAGGTGGACATCCAAAGTGCTCTGCCTATGACGGGATGAGAGGAGTACTTCACCTCTACAGCATTCTTCCCTATAGCACCCAAGCTAATCATGAGAACACCACCAAACAAATCGAGATTAGAGCACATTCTATAGGAAACTTGGCTAGTATTCCCCAAAACTGTCCAGGTCATAAAAACAATAAGAAAATGTCACAGACAAGAGAAGACTGGTGAGTTGTGATGACTAAATGCACTATGGGAGCTTGGATGTGTTCCTGGGGTATAAAGAGGATATTAATGAAAAAATTGGCAAAATCCAAACCAAGGATGGAACTTACTAATAGTAATGTAACAATGTCAGTTTCTTATTTTTGACAAACATACCCTACAAATGTAAGATACTACAATGCAGAAAGCCAAGTGAAGGTTTTTATACGGGAACTTTCTGTATTATCTTTGCAAACTTTCTATAATCTAAAATTATTCCAAAATTATAAAATTTATTAAAAACAAAAGAATCACAGGGACTAAAAGCTCAGTAGTTTTTTTTCTAAGATTACAGATAGACTAAGTCCATTATAGTAAAGGTGGACACAGTTTCTAATCTTTAACCTAAGGTTCTTTCTCATTTCCAAAAATAGATTCAAACACACATATAAATGAGTCACTTAAGGATCCTTAAAGGAAGCTAGTCCCACTTACAAGCAACATCTTACTTTATTACCCACATGTTTTCTTTCACAGATCATAGCCAGTGTTCCCAGGTTTGTATTTTAAGGAGTTCACATTTTCCACAAGTAGTTTATTAGATAACCTAACTGTTGAAAATATAAAGCTATCTTGAAAACCAGTTCAGGATATCTAATAAGAAGTCAGGCTGGAAATAGAACATCTTTACTTTTTCAAAATGAGTTTTGAAAATGGCCTCAATATTTATAATTGAGAATATATACACACATGAAATCTGTGTTTGGTGGTTTATTTTGTTTTGGGTTTTTTTTTTTTTTTTTTTTTTTGAGACAGAGTTTCACTTTGTCGCCCTCAGTAGAGTGCCGTGGTGCCATAGCTAGCAGCAACCTTAAACTCTTGGGCTCAAGCGATTCTCTTGCTTTAGCCTCCCAAGTAGCTGGGACTACAGGAGCCTGCCACAACACCTGGCTTTTATTATTATTATCATTATTTAATGTTGGGGATTCACTGAGGGTACAAGAAACCAGGTTACACTGATTACATTTGTTAGGTAAAGTCCCTCTTATAATCGTGTCGTGCCCCCAAAAGGTGTGGCACACACCAAGACCCCACCGTCTCCTTCCTTCCCTCTCTCTGCTCTTCCTTTCCTCCACCACTCCCTCCTTCTTTCTCTCTGCTCTCCCCTTCCCCCACCCCAACCATGTCATTGTCATTAATTGTTCTCATATAAAATTGAGTACATAGGATTCATGCTTCTCCATTCTTGTGATGCTTTACTAAGAATAATGTGTTCCACTTCCATCCAGGTTAATACAAAGGCTATAACGTCTCCAATTTTTTAATGGCTGAATAGTATTCCATGGTGTCCATACAACACAGCTTGTTAATCCATTCCTGGGTTAGTGGGCATTTAGGCTATTTCCACATTTTGTTGATTGTAAATTGAGCTGCAACACACAGTCTAGTGCAAGTGTCCTTACGATGAAAGGATTTTTTTCCTTCTGGGGAGATGCCCAGTAATGGGATTGCAGGATCAAATGGGAGGTCTAGCTTGAGTTCTTTGAGTGTTCTCCATACTTCCTTCCAAAAAGGTTATATTAGTTTGCAGTCCCACCAGCAGTGTAAAAGTGTTCCCTTCTCTCCACATCCACGCCAGCATCTGCAGTTTTGAGATTTTGTGATGTGGGCCATTCTCGCTGGGGTTAAATGGTATCTCAGGGTGGTTTTGATTTGCATTTCTCTAATAATTAGGGATGATGAGCATTTTTTCATATACTTGTTCACCATTCATCTGTCTTCTTGAGAGAAGGTTCTATTCATGTCTCTTGCCCATTGATATATGGGATTATTGGCTTTTTTCATATGGATTAATTTGAGTTCTCTATAGACTCTAGTTATCAAGTTTTTATCTGATTCAAAATTTGCAAATATCCTTTCCCATTGTGTAAGTTATTTGCTTTGGTTGTTGTCTCCTTAGCTGTACAGAAGCTTTTCAGTTTCATTAAGTCCCATTTGTTTATTTTTGTTGTTGCAATTGCCACAGCAGTCTTCTTCATGAAGTCTTTCCCCAGGCCGATATTTTCCAGGGTTTTTCCTATGCTTTCTTTGAGGACTTTTATTGTTTCATGCCTAAATTTAAGTAGTTTATCCATCTTGAATCAGTTTTTATGAGTGGAGAAAGGTGTGGGTCCAGTTTCAATCTTTTACATGTAGATATCCAGTTCTCCCAGCACCATTTATTGAATAGGGAGTCCTTCCCCCAAGGCATGTTCTTGTTTGGTTTAGAAGATTAGGTAGTTGTAAGATGTTAGTTTCATTTTCTGATTTTCTATTCGATTCCAAATATCTATGTCTCTATTTTTGTTCCAGTACCATGCTGTCTTGACCACTATAGCTTTGTAGTACAGCCCAAAATCTGGTATGCTAATGATTCCGGCTTTGTTTTTATTACTAAGAACTGCCTTAGCTATATGGGATTTTTTCTGGTTCCATACAAAATGCAGAATCATTTCTTCCAAGTCTTGAAGGTAC